CAAGAACTTTGCAAAGAGCTATCAGTCACTAATGTGTTGCCCTTTGTATTCAATTCAGTCAAATCTGTTAAAATGCAGAAAGAAAACCCACTTAATGGTCATTGTGATTCCCAATATTTTGAAACTGGTCCTCCAAGGTAGTTTGACTGTCCAAAAACTACTGCAGCCTTCTTGTGAGTCTAAATATTCAAAGTGATGCCTTGAGAACAATGCAAACTATTAGTATCGCACAAGCTGTTAATGTTGCAAAACCTTTATTACCATGCAGTTGTTTAGAAACAAGACCAACTAATCTAATTTTTCACACAGGTGTTGGGGTGGTCAAATGATGGTGAGAACAGCATTTCTCAGGGAATAGAGGCCGAACTGGATGGTGACACTGGAATCCCCTAGGAAATGCAGAGAGTATACAGCAATGAGCAACTTATTCCAGAATTGGAGGCTGATGGATTTTTGTGTTTCCCAAGAAAAAGAGCAACATTTTGTCAACGGTATTTCTTGGCACTTTTGTAATGTATTTTCTCCATGTATGCAGTCTTAATTTGCTAAATGACTGTTCACTTTTCCCTTTTTTTCCCCCAGGGTGGCTTGCCTGAAACTTATCTTAGTAACTAAACCAGGGAAGAAGAACAAGTGTACGAGCTTACACTAGGTTTAAGAGGACTTTGGATTAGATTGAGGATGGTAGCCAGTCAGCATTATACATAATCTCCCATGATCAACACATCATTCACGAGTAGGATGTTGTATTCTGTAATGCTCGGTATTGAGTGGATCAATTGCACTATTTTTAAGCCTATGTTCAGCGATGCCTGATGATTATACAGTCAGTCTTCTATTCTTCAATTATACTTTTTGGTAAGTTGCTTTTGTTTCTAGGAGACCTTGTGTGCTGCAGAAAGTATCTTAAAATTGCTGCTAGCTTATTTGTAATCATACTCAATCAAAAAAGCCAAAGATTTCCTGTAGTTTTCTTTATTCTTTGGACTCTTGATTACTGTCTGTCATATCATTAGAGCTTGTTTTTTTTTTTTGTGCTGCAGTCCACTGGAATTAATTCAGAGTCTTTTTTATCTACAACAGGGTCCAGTTGATCCTAGATTCGAGGGGATTTGAAGATGAATTATTATTCATGATTAACTCATGAATGCAGTTCATTTTTTGCTGAGTGAGTTTTCATATATTCTGCTGTTTGCTCGTTTCATCGTCCACTGATTTTACTTATTTATTTTTTTAAATTAAATCAATACGAATTTGTCACTTATCTTAATTTTTCATCAACCAGTTTCGCAAACGTGTTGGACCTTCAAACTGCAATATTGTGTGGTAACAATATGTCCAACTTTTAGTATCGTTTTAACTCAAGCATTTACTTTCTTTGTCCTTCAGAATACTGTTGTTTTGTTTGACTTCACATGATCTATTTGAACGTCTCCCACGGAGTTTCAAAAACACATCAATATCAACATTCTGTATGTAAGTTAAAACCAGTTGTGGATGTTTCCCCTTTCAGTATAGCTATAGAATTAGTTATTATTTTTTTTCTTGTTTTTTGACTTTGCCAGTTCTCCTGTTCCATTTACTTTGGCAAAAGGAAGCCCGTCTAGGCATGGCAGAGCAAGAGCAGAGTTGTAGTCCCATTAAATAATCACAACTCGGTAATAGTATTTGCTATTATTTGTTTAATGTTACATTAATTGTTGCTTTTTTATCTTTACCATTACCAGGAAAAGCCTGCCCTAGCCATTTATGGTAAAGTATTGTCTACCTTTTTCTTTAAATGTGTTTGAGCACATTTCATTAACTGTAGAATATAATAACTAAAATATCCATCTGTTTGCAAACGTAACATTATATATCTATATTAAACTATAGGTCAACGGTGAAGCCGTAACCTCCTTCATTGAAGTAGGTGCATGGTGAATCCGGATCTCATTGGTTTTCTTAGAAAAGTATATATTAAGCTACAGGTCAACGGTGAAGCCGTAACCTCCTTCATTGAAGTAGGTGCATGGTGAATCCGGATCTCATTGGCTAACGTAAATTCTGTGAAAATGAAAGTCATTCTTTTTTGGTATTGCAAAAATGTGGCACTTTTGATGTGCCACGTCCGGCTCTCATGAGCGACGGTTGGGTCCCTAAATTTGCTGCTGTTGGGAAGCAGTAAATACCTATGCCCACCTCCTCGTGGTGGGACCTGGAGTGAAAATGTGATTCTCATCCACCTATTCACACGAACGGGCAAGGTCAAAGATTCCCAACTTCCTTTGGTTTGTGTTTAAAGTTGTAATGTCAATGTCTTATTTAACAACTTTTTTATTACTGTAATACTTCATAGTTCTGTTAATAATCATTCTTCTTGTAGTTGTGTTTTATTTTTACAGAGCACACAGTGGTCTTTCCCAATTTCAGCAGCAGACCGCCTGTTTTTCAAGTAAACCATTCAAGACGTATACTTGAGCTGCTGTTCACAACAAGGAATGCTGTTGTAACTATGTAGTTCTGGTCACTCTATTCCCTATCTGCACTGTGGCAGGGGTACTATTTATTATCACTTTTGTGAAGTAATGTTAGCATGGCTTAATTTTCTTGTAACTTCCTGTAGCGGTCATGTATGTGCATGTTGGGATAGGATAAAATTCTTCATTCATTGTCATTGGGGGCTAGTTTGTGCAATATGGTGCAGTTCCATTTTTCATTGTATCCACTTCCACATTTTTGTCAAAAGTATCCAAATATTCAATAGTTCATATATTTAGATGTTTAGTTTTGTGGCCTTTTAGAAAGTTGAAATGGTTCAATATTCAGTAAAATTTTATGTGTTTTGAGACATTTTCAATAGTAAATTGTTTTCCAAGTTGGGAATTGAGGTTCATGTCATAAGCCATTATGACAGCACCCTGTTATTAACAGTATGAGCCCCATGTGGCCACACATATGGCCACACTAAACTCTAACATTCCTTGTTTTCTCAACTCCCTCACTGTTTCTGCATTATTAATATTTTAATGCAGTGCAATTTAATCATGTATTAATTGTTTCCCTGCACTAATAAGTGTTACTGTTTTGTCAACAGATGTTTAAATCCATTGGAACATTGTTATGGGGAGGGGGAGGGGGAGGGGGGGGGCAAAAAAAGGAAGGCGGCTGAAAGCTCTTCGTCTTCCTCCTCCTCCTACGAGGAGGAGACAACAACGGAGGAGGAAGAGGAGGAAGACCAGAAGGCGACAATCCAGGCGGAGGTCGATAGGAGGTTGCTGCAGCTGCAACAGCAACAGCAGCAACAGCAGCAACAGCAGCAACAGCAGCAACAGCAGCAACTGCAGCAACAGCAGCAGCAGCAGATTCAGCAGCAGCTACAGCAGCTGCACATACAGCAGCAGCATCAGCAGCATCAGCAGCAGCAGCTGTTGGCTGCCGCTTCAATGTAAGTGTGCTTGACTTACAAATGGAATTTCCACAGAATTTAGGTAGCAAGCAAGAAAAAGAACATTATACAAGAAAAAGAACATTATACAATTTTACAGCAGAGTTAAGAGATGATTTAGCACCATGTTACGTAGTATTGTTGCCTCTGAGAGAAGTAAGAGTCAAGCCAGCTGTCCTCTGATTCCTGCCATTTCTAGATTATCAGTTAGTAAAAGGTGGTCTTCAGTGTCAAAGGCTTTCCTCAAATCAATGAGGAGACCTGCAGACAGGGAACCACCATCAACGTTGTCTTGTACTAACTTTAAGGCATCCATCGCAGCACATTCTGTTGCCATACTGAGAACTAGTGAAATAATTGAATTTAGCAAAGAAAAGAGATGAGTCTCCTTTCCATTATTTTTTCCAGTGCCCCAGTAAATGTCTCATTTATATTTTTACTTTGCCATAGGCCCTGGAACGCTCGGCCGGCGTGGCGCGGCCGTGGCCGTGGAGGAGGAGGAGGCCGTTTCGG